TCTCACTGAAATAATTTTAACAGCTGTCGGACGAGTGGCTTAGAAATGATAGCAGTTTGAAGTTGGTAGCAGTTTTTTTTTTGTTTTATCTCACCCTGTTTAGTTCCACATTTTCATATAGCCCTCATATAACGGTACCTCCCGATATTCGGTATTTTGATGTTTTTTGCGACATTTTTCACGAATTTGTTTCAAACTTGGTATTTAAGACTCGCAATAGATGACACTCCCCGTTATATAATAAATTGTCTATAAAGGTTCCTCTTTTGATATGGGCCCAATATAACGGCCTCACCCACTTTATGGTTTTTTTAAGCTTAACAGCATTATCCAAGAGGTCTTACTGGCATTTTTAGTTTTAAGTGAAACACGTTTGAGTGCAAATATTTTAATAAATCATTTTTTTCTTTACCCAATGGTGGAGGGTATTAAAAGTTCGGCCTGGCAGAATTTAATGTTTTTTACTTGTTTTATATTTTAGTAAAATTCATAGTAAGAAGAAACAGTCCTTGCAAAAAATTGTCAATATGGACCTATGTTTAGGTATAATCCCCATATGAAGGTAGGTATTCGAGCTATTTTCGGGGTCTTGATCACATTTTTATTTTATTGGCCCATATGTGACATCTTATTTCATTTGGCCCATATTTGGCATCTTGGTTTCTAAGGAGGTCGAAACCCTCTTCGCAGAAAAACCGACTTTACCTATTTGGAATGCGGGCCGAACTTTGAATACCTTTCCCCATTGGGAAAAATGTTCAAATTTGCAATAAAAAGTCCGTTGAAAAATTACTGCTAAAATGATAAAAATACAGAATATAGGGAGTTACCGTTATATGGGGGTTATACAAAGACCAGGACCTGCATAAGCATTTTTCCGTCATATGCTGTAGAATCCATTTCCGGTAGATAATGTCGCAATAATCATCAAAATACCGAATATAGGGGTGCCGTGATATGGGGCCATACGAAGACCTGGACCTGCATACGCAATTTTCGGCAACAGGCTGTAGCACCCATTACGAACTTATGCTACGTAATTTGAAACAATTATCTTGATTATGTCGCTAAAATCATCAAATTACCGAAAAAAGGAGGTACAGTTATATGAGGACTATACCAAAATCTAGAACTATATTAACAGTTCTATACAAGGATATTTCTTACATAATGAGAACACAAAGTGTAAATTTATAGAAAAGTCGGATTTAAAATACACATTGGATTGAGTTATTATTAACTTACTTTATTTCGTTCTGTGATTTCCACAGACGGACATCGCAAAATCAATATAGAATTTTATGCTGATAAAGAATATATATATTCTCCATAGAATAGTGGAGAGTAAAAAAATTAAGTTTGAGAACTGATATTCAAATGAGCCATAGTGTAGCAACATGCATTGAATGTAGGTAAAATGTCAACTCATTCCAAACATATAGAACGAAAAGGTACGACCCTTTCTTCTTCTTATATGCATGTGTTGAATTAGAAGAAATACAAACCTACACACATATACGAATATCAGACATGGTCTTTTGTGTGTTTCGTATGAAATTGTGCACTTTTTATTATGACTGCCAGCATTCATCCTATCCAGATGAATGTAATCACCTGAATAGTTGAACACCATTGTCATAGGTAAGGAACAATGATGCTTAAATACAACAGTGGCATCAAACCATTTCAAGTATGTATTGCAACATTCTTTGGGTTTTTTGGTAAATACATACATACACACAGGACTACAGTAAAACCAACAATTGAATGCTTAATATAATCGTTGTGAGCATCATTCTAAAATGAAATTTCATTAAAAAGCAGGTATTCCTAAAAAGCTTCTAAGTTTTCCCTGAATATGTTTCCTCGGCAATGGAGAGTGCATATTATGTACAATTTCCCAGAATAGTGTGTTGATATTTCGGCACATAATTGACAATTAACCTCGGTTTGTGCCATAAGGCAACGTAACATATTCAGGTTACCATAACAGTTTCTAAAGGCAAAACAAAACGTATCAACATGGTAGGAAAGCGAATTTTGGAGTCCAAATGGCAAAAATGTTTACGTTTTATTTTTCCCCCAAAGAACCCATTATAGTGCAATTGCTGACAAATTTGTGAAATTTAGAAAGAAAAAAAGTTAAAAGGTCTCACTTAGGTTCAGCCTCAGCATATGACTGCATATACACATTGTGGTAAAGGGTATCATGTCTTTGTGCACTTGTTCGGAACATGTAGAAGGAAACGAGGTAGTGGATAGATGAGTATCTTCGTAGAATCACTTACTGAGTCGACTTAGGTATGTATGTCCATGTATTTTTGTAATCAAAGTACAGATTGAAATTATTGTCCGATTGAGATTAAGTTGTCCACAAATGATTTGTTTTGGTTAAAGGGCGAATCCTTTTGAAATTGTCTTAATTTAGATATAGCTACCATATATATCTACGTTCGTCATATATGTAATATTCCTCCAAATAGGATTTTTTTCGACACATCCTACAGAATTCTGCCTAGAAGCAAGTATTTCCAATGTGGTGAAAATCGGTTCAGCTATAACTCCCATCCATATGTTTCACACGATTCGGTGCCTAAGTCCCTTACATTCGTAAAGTGCACTCCACAATAATGCTATTTGGTAATAAATATCTTATACAGCTCAGAAATATATCTACCAGATTTTATCGAAATCGGGTCCGATTTGGATATAGCCCCCTAAATATACCGTATATATATCCCTGATCAGAATAAAACTATAAGACGAATTAACGATGTGTTTTTGTTTGTCTGTTTAGAACGACCTTATGTAAAATGTGGCTACAATTGTCAAGGTATCGGAATCAAAGTATATAGGAGAACTTGGACCTATATAAACAATGTTCTGCACCTGAAGCAAGAATCTATTATAAATTATATATTCTTATCCGATGCCGTTTCAAATGTGTTCAAAAATCATGAAAATACCGTATATAGGGAGGTACCGTTAAACGGTGGCTATACAACGACGTGAACCTGTATGTGAGGCGGTACCCTTTACGAATTCTAAATATTAAAATTGAAACAATTCAAGTAGAAATCTTCAAAATACCCAATCTTAGGGGGTACAGTTGTATAAGAGCTCTTCAAAATCTTGGAAATGTATGAACAACTCCTTGCAAGATTAACATATTCTTGGAAAGAGGAACAAAAACTGTCAATTTACAGCACGTTTGGTCTAAAACTATGACTAAAACACCTTAAAGCTCTACTAACATGGACCTATATGACCCATTTTCAATATTAACAAGTTAAAAATTAGTAAGTTCGGCCGGGCCGAACTTTGAATACCCTCCACTACTTGGAAATTTTCAAAAAATGAAATCGTATCATACGAAGATGTGGACCTGCACAGACAATTTTCTGTCATAGGCTGTAGTATCCATTACGTACTTTAAATACAAAATTTAAAACAATTCCGGTGAATAATGTCGCTAAAATCATCAAAATACTGAATATAGGGAGGTACCGTTATATGGGGGCTATACGAAGACATGGACCTGCACAGACAATTTTCTGTCATAGGCTGTAGTATCCATTTCGAACAAATTCGAAACAAGTCCGGTAAATAATGTCGCTAAAATCATAAAAATAACGAATATCCGGATATACCGTTATATGGAGGCTATATGAAAACGTGGACCTACATGGTCCATTTACGAACTTAACCTGCCTACTGACAAAATAAACATGTGTGCAAAATTTTAGCTTTCTATCTCAATTCGTACGAAAGATAGAGTGATTACAACAGACATACTGACGGACAGAAACACGGACATCGCTAAATCGACTTAGCATTTTACGCTGATCAAGAATATATAAACTTTGTTGGGTCTGACATGAGTATTGCGGGAAGTTACAAGCGGAATGACAAAGTTAATATACCCTCCATAATAGGGTGGAGGGTATAAAAATTATACGGATCTTAAACACATTTGAATGAAATTGTATCATTTCGTTTGGAAGCTAGAGTGATCACCACAGACGGATGTAGAAGAAGTATCTTACCCAGAATTCTTGCTTTATAAGTTCGTTATATAACATTTATTACTTTAAGTATCCATTTCACTCTTATTAGTCATTCCATTTTGAGCTCCTCCATATATTGGCATTATACAGTCTAACGACTTGAAGAATATATATATCTTAATCAGCGTAAAAATCAATTTAAAGGTATCCGTTCGAAAGTCTGTTGTAATAGTGCTATCTTTCGAATGAATTGAAATAGAAAGCGAATATTGTACATATATGTTATATATAAGTTCGAAAATTTCGGTCCAATTTTTAGTATAACCTTAACATAACTCTATTTGGTATTTGTTTCCTATTTTCTAACAGAAATTTTCGGGGCTTAGAGTCCGTAATAGGTTCAGTCATCACTGGTGGAAATTATCCACATAATACATGTTTTTATACAGATAGTATTCAGTTTTTCGTATTCACATTTTTCAATGGAAGTATTTCGACTTTGGAATATCTAGAATATCCAGCCCAGATACCAACCACTGTATCATACAATTTAAGAGGGTATAAAAATAAACGCATTCTCTCAATACCAACCATGATCTAAGTACATATGTGAAAGGTGATGCATTTGTTTCCTGGGAAATGTAGTTGGTGTGCCTTTATCTACTTCATTTCATAGAAGACATTTATGTGTTAGCATTACTTGGTTATGTAACAGTATGACAATGATGATGACAGGCACTCATATATCCATCGGTAGTTGAAAGAAATTCTCACAGGTAGGTCATGTGCAACACAAGTAGTCATGTGAATATGTCAAGAGTTGAAAATGGATGTAATGGAAACTTAAGATGATACTTGCTAAGCAATTAATCCAAAAAACTAAATAGAATCGTCTTCTCTTGCCATGGGGCCAATGAAGGTTGACACTTAATTCTCACGTAATGGAGACATTCTGGTAACTGAATTTCAAATGGTCCGTCTGTTCATTTTCAGTTTGTGGTCTGTTGAATGTGGGTGTTGCTGCCATATTCGGTCCTCAATCAACTCACACAGCAAGTCATGTCCAGAGTATATGTGATAATATGGAGGTAAGTCAGAGAGATGGGGAAAATCGAAATGCGCTCAAATGAAATAAATGTTTTTTATATCTTCCTTTAGATTCCCCATTTAGAAAATCGCTGGGATTACCGCCTGAGAAGAGAAAGTTGCCTGGTAAATCTGTATCCTAATCCCAATCTCTTGGCAAAGGTTTGTTGCTTGATGATTTATCGCAAATTTATAAAATATTTTTTAAAAATTTTAATTATTTTAGGCCTATGTAGACATTGTCAGACAATGGGGATGGAAATCGTTTACAATAATCTATGAAAATAACGATGGCCTTATGCGAGTACAGGAACTGCTCAAGGAACATGGTCCCACTCCATTTCCAATTAATGTTCGACAATTGGATATGTATGGAGATCACAGGTAAGTGTTATGAATTAACTCATTATTCGGTTTTGGAATCATTTGTCTGTGGAAGGAACAACGTATATTACCTTATTGGTGTTCAACAATACTTCGAATTTGATTTAAGGGAGGAATTCAAAAAAGACTTTTAAGCAGAACCTAGTCCTGGGGTCTAATTACCGCATACGATATCGAGAAGTTACGTTATCGTAATCTTATTTTTGGATGACGGCGTTCGATATCGATCCAATCGAAATGTTATTTGTTTGTGACACAACTTATTTTCCATTTCTCTTAAAAGTCGGTCTGCGGTTTTGCACAAAGAACTTTGGCTCAAACCAACCAAAAAGTCGTTCCCGACACAGTGCTGGGAGCTGCCGCTGTTCAATGTGAAGAAAAACTATAACAGCGGTTGTGGTTTATAAAAATGAGTGTACTTACATATTTTCTTGCAAAGATAATGAATTGATTTTATCACGGATTTGTTTTCCTAAGATGTTTACATTGAATTCATCTTATGAATCCGACGATGACATAATAAAAGACAATTCTTCATCCATTTTTGCGAAATTTCACTTTCTCGCCAAATAAATTACAATATGTTTTGTTTATTCTTAAAGATGCTAAATTTGACAATGTTAAATGTAACAAAATCGATAAATTCGATACTAATTTACGATCGAATGCATCATCCCAACAAGTAATTAGGACCCAGATTAATACTAGGCGTGTTAATGGGTGGCAATTTTTATAACTTTCATATTTATTTTGAAAAAAAAGGGCCAAGAAGACCCCTTTGATGACTGACATAAAATTACAATATTAGACCGAAATAACCCTCGCATTGCTATCAGTAATATTTACGAAGCCACCATCTACCGAGGATGCAATGATTTCTAGAAATCTTATTCTGAAAAAAAAAATTGGTTAAGACGGACTGAACTACCTCCCTCCCTCTGCTTTTTGCACAGTAATCTATGTAATATTTTATTATTAGAGGGATATGCGTCAATTGTGGCATTACGAAATTACAATTAAAAAAAAACAAGCAAAAAAGATCCCAATTCGGCCGGGCCGATCTTTGAATACCCTCCACCATTTGAAATGACTTTCGCAATTTTCAAAAAAAAAAAAAAAATAATAATTCGTTAAAAATTCTGTTGAAATCTTAAAAATACAGAATGTAGCCGTTATATTAGGGTCTATATGACGACGTGGACCTGCATAGGCAAATACCAAATTTGAAACATTTCCGGTGAACAATGTCGCTTAAATCACCAAAATACCGAATATTGGGAGGTACCATTATATGGGGGCTATACCAAAACGTGGACCTACATCACCCATGTTCAAAACCAAAAGTCCTGCAGATATAATATACATTTGAGTAAAATTTTATCTACCTACTTCATTTCGTTCGGAAGCTACAGTGATTTCTACAGACGGACAGACATCGTTAAATCGATATAGAATTTTATGTTGATCAAGAATATATATACTTTGTGTGGTCTAAAATGTATATTTCAAGGTGTTACAAACGGAATAACAAACTTAATATACCCTCCATACTATGGTGGAGGGTATAAAAAGTGGTAGCTTGATTTAAAAAACAAACATTTGACCTGATCAGAGTTATAATTCGACGAAATTTTTTTTTCTGCAGACCAATGCTGAAACAAATTAAAAACACTGCAGAATCCCATATAGTTTTGGACTGTTCTGCAGACAAAATTTACGAAGTACTCAAACAGGCCCAACAAGTTGGTTTGATGAGTGACTATCACAGCTATTTAATAACATCCTTGGATTTGCATGCCATCAACTTGGACGAGTTCCGTTACGGTGGCACCAATATCACCGGATTCCGTCTAATTAATGAGAAAATTGTCAACGATGTGGTACGACAATGGAGCATAGAGGACAAAGGTGTATTGCGTTCTGCGAATTTAACAACAATTAAAACGGAGACAGCTCTAATGTATGATGCGGTGCATTTGTTTGCCAAGGCTCTGCACGATTTGGATACATCGCAGCAGATCGATATAAACCCACTGAGTTGTGATGGACAAAATACCTGGCAGCATGGTTTCAGTTTAATTAATTACATGAAAATTGTCGAGATGAAGGGTTTGACAAATGTCATCAAATTCGATCATCAAGGATTCCGTAGTGATTTCATTATGGATATTGTAGAACTGAGTCCGGGCGGAATTCGCAAAGTGGGAACATGGAATTCCACTTTGCCGGACGGGGTAAACTTTACCCGTACCTTTGGTCAAAAGCAACAGGAGATTGAAGCTAACTTGAAAAATAAAACCTTGATTGTTACGACGATATTGGTAAGTTGTTGATATGAATAAGGTTTGGAAGAGAGGGAGAGTGTATTTATTAAATTTTCATTCCAGAGTAATCCGTATTGTATGAGAAAGGAATCCGTGGTCTCACTCACTGGCAATGATCAGTTCGAAGGTTATGCCGTTGATTTGATACATGAAGTCTCTAAGTCATTAGGATTTAATTATAAAATTCAGTTGGTACCAGATGGAAGTTACGGCAGTTTTAATAAATTAACAGGGTAAGTTTTTAGGAGTGATATGTTTTCAACAAATGAAGTTGAGCAGAGCACGCTATTTGGTCCGAACTTAAATAATGTTAAATTGTTATATATATGTCCTTTCAATGATTAATTTGGGTAACCTCCATGAGATAATTTCCAATTCACTTCATTCCAAGATATGATTGAAATTTATATTTTTTCTGTTACCATTTTATCAGTTCTGTATTCAACAGTTTTAAATAATAATTCCATAATTTTTTTGTTTTTAAAAGCGAATGGAACGGCATGATACGAGAATTATTGGAACAACGTGCTGATTTGGCGATTGCAGATTTAACAATAACTTTTGAAAGAGAACAGGCTGTTGATTTTACCACACCATTTATGAATTTGGGTGTTTCGATATTATATCGTAAGCCCGTGAAACAGCCACCGAATCTTTTCTCCTTCCTATCTCCTTTGTCACTGGATGTATGGATTTATATGGCCACAGCATATTTGGGTGTCTCTGTGCTATTGTTTATATTGGCCAAGTAAGATATACACGTTCAATGTAAAATTTGACAATATATAAAGAAATTTCGTTTAAGGTTCACTCCCTATGAATGGCCATCTTATACCGATCCTCATGGGGAAAAAGTGGAAAGCCAATTTACCCTATTGAATTGCATGTGGTTTGCCATTGGTTCTCTCATGCAGCAAGGATGTGATTTTCTCCCAAAGTAAACACAAATTGTGATTAATAATTATTTTTATTTGTTATTAAATACTGATTTTGTTCTCAGAGCCTTATCTACCCGCATGGTGGCCGGTATTTGGTGGTTCTTTACTTTAATTATGATTTCATCATATACTGCCAATTTGGCTGCGTTTCTCACTGTCGAGCGCATGGATTCACCAATTGAAAGTGCCGAAGATTTAGCCAAACAGACACGTATTAAATATGGCGCTCTAAAAGGTGGCAGCACAGCGGCTTTCTTTAGGGTAAGACGATAATTTGGAAATGTGGTGCTATTTCATTTAATGTTGTTTATTTTATTTGTAGGATTCTAAAATATCCACCTATCAAAGAATGTGGTCGTTCATGGAATCGGCGAGACCTTCTGTGTTTACAGCAAGTAATGGTGAAGGTGTGGAACGAGTTGCAAAGGGAAAAGGTAAATAAGGGATTACAACAGCTCAATGTGCGGTCTCTGAAAACCTTGCAATATTTTAAAATATTTATCGGAAAAATATCAGACTTATTTTGAATATAAATAGGTACAGGATAAGATAAAAAACTGCAACAAAGTCAAACGCCATAATTTTTACATTTTTTTTTTTTTAATTTTATTGAATGAAAGCAAAAATTTTTGGGAAATAGTATCGAATTTTAGATTTGTTCGAATTTGTCACCTTTGGCACGAATTATGGCCTTCAAACGCCCAATGAAACCGTCACACGCTGCCCGAATGTTGCTCTGCGGTATCCCGGCGAAGCGCTTGCTTGAGGTGATCGACACTTTGGTACCTTTTAGTGCTAACCTTGCTTTCCAAAATACTACAGACACAATATTCCAACGGATTGGTATCCGGAGATTTTGGTGGCCATTGTGCGCTGGAAATGAAGCGAGGAACCTCATTTTCTAACCATTCTTGGGTGGCGCGTGCTGAGTGCGATGGTGCTGAGTCCTTTTGGAATGTCCAAGCTCTGCGGCCAAAATGTTTGCGTGTCCAAGGCTTTAATGCACCCTCCAGAATATTTTCGCGACAATATTCGGCATTTATTCTGATGCCACGGTCGATTAATACGAGCGGAGAGCGTCCATCGTCTGTTATGGCGGGTCACACCATCACCATGGCCGGCGCTTGAGTTCTGGTGGCCAACCGAAAGTTCACATTTTCAGCTGACCTCTTTGGCAAATAAACACGATAATTTTGTTCGTTTACAAACTGCTGAACAACGAATGTTTTCACATCGGAGAAAACCAAATTCGACCGTTCACCAATTTCGGCCAAACGAAGCAACTCTTTAGCTCTTTTGAATCTATTTTCTTTCAGTTGAGGTGTAAGTTCTTGCACTTTTTGAAATTTCAATGGCTTTACCCCGAGCTCATTTTTCAATATTTGCCGAATGGAATATTGTGATATGTTCAGCTCACGAGCCATTTTTCGGCCACTGCGACGCGGGTTTCGATCAAGTCGTTTCTTTACTTTTCGAATCATTTCTGCTGATTTTGCTGTTTTCTTCCGTCCACTCCCTTGACGTCGTGCTACACTACCAATATCACGGTAACGAGCGATGGTCCGAGACACTAAAGATTTGTTCACATTTTAATGCTGGAGTGCTCTAACGATAGCCACTTGTGGTTTTCCAGCCAAATATAAAAAATCACACTATCACGCTTGAATCCCATTACGAATAATTTTTTTCTGGAAAATTCTCACCAAAATGCTTTTGTACGCTTCTAAACAATATAATGAGCTGTCACTGAACACCATTCGGACGAAAGGCTTAGAAATGACAGCAGTCTGAGGTTGGTTGTAGTTTTTTTATCTCACGCTGTATGTATATTTTGACATAGATCCAAATATTGGCAATTTGGTGTTTTTGGTTCGACTCGCGCTTCAGTATTTGAATTTTCTACTAAAACCCAATTCTTCTGTATTATATATCAGTTCCTCGAAATCGACACTCTGTTGGTTACATAAATACATGCACAGACTGACTGTATCACAGAGTTGAGCATGGTACACACATGAAAGTTGGAAGATTTCCCATTTACCAAATGACTAAATACAAAATTTTGACTAAAGCTTTCAAACTAGCAAACATTTTCAGGCATATTTTAAAATAGAATATTGCATTTAGAACTCCTAGTCTCATTAATTAGAATTTATTAGATCTAGTAAGTACACTTATATTTTATTTGCTGACTTCCATCGCACGAATTTCTCAAAGCAGAATATCTTAGAAAAATGTGTGTTCTTTATACCCTACGCCACAATGGTACATTATATTATGCCTTATTTTCGTTTGTTTCCATATACTAATGGAAATGACCTTAAGTTTATTTTGGTGATCTGCATATCACATTATGAGTCGAATTATGTCCGTTTGTCTTTCCATGTTGTTATATCTTACGACACCCTGTGGTTCGGGGTATTATGTATTTCTGTATTTGTTTGGAACACGCAGAAGAAAACGAGATAAAATCAAAGTTGCCTTTGATGATCTCTATAAATTTCCATTTACAATTTCCGCATATCCGTCCGTCTGTCCATGTATTTTTGTGTGCCAAATACAAAATGTATGCCCGAATTTAGCAGCAATAGCCGTATTTAGCCTAGAAGTAAGTTAGATTTGAAGAAAATCAGTTCAGTTCAAATGTGTATTATGGACTTTTGGTATTGAAAATGGGTCATGTAGGTCCAGGTTTTGGTATAGTCCCCATATAATGGACCCCCCTTTCTTCGGTATTTTTGTAATTTAAGCAGCATTATTCACCGGAATCTTTCAAATTTGGTGTTTGAAGTTCGTAATGGATACTACAGCCTAAGACAGAAAATTGTCTGTACAGGTCCACGTCTTCGTATAGCACCAATATAACGGTACCTTCCTATATTCGGTATTTTGATGATTTTAGCTACATTATTCACCGATTTTTTTAAAGTTTCGCATTTGTATATTGTAATGGCTTATGACAAAAGTTGCCTATGCAGGTCCACGTCGTAGTATAGACCATAATATAATGGCTACATTCGGTATTTTTAAGATTTTAACTGATTTTTAAAAGGATTTTATTTTTTTTTTTTTTTTGGAAATTGCCTAATTCGTTCAAAATGGTGGAGGGTGTTAAAAGTTCGGCCCGGCCGAACTAACAGCTTTTTTACTTGTTTATATTTAGTCCGATTTTACAAATGCAAATGGAGGTAAATTACGTGTCGTATTTAATTTTCGAATGGAGATTTTTTAGATATAGCTCCCGTAATTATATAGTGGCTCGATTTAAAGCTAACCGTACGTAATATTTAACATATATATGTGAGTACATTAATGGACCTTGAAGTAGAATCAAATTTATGGAACTTGGATTAAATCTGTTCACATATATCTATAGCTCCCATATGAATAACAAATCCAAATCCGTAACATGATCTTCTAAAGTTCGTAGTAAAGACCACCTACAACTTCAACTTCTTTACATGGGTGTGATAAAACAGACATTTATAAAAATCTTCGTTTAACTGATTCTAGAATTGGTGGAACAGCAACCAAAACATATTCTTTAAGTATCATGTATTTTTTACAAGAAGTCTTTGCAAAAACTCAGGATTTCTTAAAGATTCATCGAGTAAAATCCATATACTTTTGCCTCAAAAATCCAAGTCACTAGTTTTGGCCAGAGGTCTTTCAAATTCTTTTATTCTTACAAATCCAGCCGAGAGCTTCTGGAACATATTGAAATAAATCTACTTATCCTTGCGAGGAAGTTTTTGGAAAATTCTTGAACAGAAGTCGTTTAAAATAATATAAAAATCCACATACAGTAGACTCTAAAAAAATATTAACAAGTTAAAAAGCTGTAAGTTCGGCCGGGCCGAACTTTCAATACCCTCCACCATTTGCAACGAATTTGGAAATTTTCAAAAAATAAAATCCTTAAAAAATTCTGTTAAAATTTTAAAAATACCGAATATAGCCGTTATTTTGGGGTCTATACGACGTGGACATACATAGGCATTGTTTGTCTTAAGCCATTACCATATTCAAATTCGAAACTTGAAATAAACGGTGAATAATGTAGCTAAAATCATCAAAATACCGAATATAGGGAGGTACCGTTATATGGGGGCTATACGAAGACCTGGACCCGCACAGACAGACTGTAGTTCCCATAACGAACTTCAAATACCAATTTTAAAACAATTCCGGTGAATAATGTCGCTAAAATCATCAAAATGCCGAATATAGGGAGGTACCGTTATATGGGGGCTATATGAAGACGTGGACCTGCACAGACAATTTTCTGTCTTAGGGTGTAGTATCCATTTTGAACTTCAAATACTAAATTTGAAACAATTCCCGTGAATAATGTCGCTAAAATCATCAAAATACCGAATATCAGGAGGTACCGTTATATGGGGGCTATACGAAGACGTGGACCTGCACGGATAATTTTCCGTCTTAGGGTGTAGTATCCATTTTGAACTTCAAATACCAAATTTGAAACAATTCCCGTGAATAATGTCGCTAAAATCATCAATCACCATTTACGAACTTAACCTGCCTACTGGAAAAATAAACATGTGTGCAAAATTGTAGCCACCTAAATCAATTCATTCGAAAGATAGCGTGATTACAACAGACAGACAGACAGACGGACAGAGAGACAGACGGACATCGATAAATCGACTTAGAATTTTACGCTGATCAAGAATATATATACTTTGTTGGGTCTGATATGAGTATTTCGAGTAGTTACAAACGGAATGACAAAGTTAATATACCCTCCATAGTATGGTGGAGGGTATAAAAACGTACATGATTCTTGGTCTGAAGTCATTTTCAGGAGTTTAAAATAATTAAGCTCTTATTTAAAAATATTTGTAAAAAAATCCACATAAGTTGATTAGGACTCTTGGACTATATATATATATATATATATATATATATATATATATATATATATATATATATATATATATATATATATATATATATATATATATATATATATATGATTATATAAAATTCTAATTTTGATTTAGCCATATCCGTTGGTCGAATGAAAAAATAATATTCCCTTTATATTTTAATAGAGGATACAAAATTCTTCAAAATTCTACCCCAACGTGACCAAACTTCTTCTAAATTCAATTGTTCCAAGACCCTAGAAAGGGAATACGATTCTAACAGCCCAAATGACCCATGAAAAAAGTTGTTATAGAATTAGTGCTGATCAAAAGCGTCTACAAATATTTGGACACTATATAAATAAAAAATTAACGTATAAAAATAAATTATCAATTGTTTATTTCTCGGTATTTTTGTATTTTCAGGAAATTATGCTTTTCTTATGGAATCGACATCCATTGAATATGTTACAGAGCGTAACTGTGACCTCACGCAAGTGGGTGGAATGTTAGACACGAAATCCTATGGCATTGCGACACCACCGAGTAGGTCAAACTATGACCAATTTCTCAATAACACAATTAACACTTGATATTTCTTCTTCTCTTTCAGATTCTCCATATCGCACCGCCATTAATAGTGTCATTCTAAAACTTCAGGAGGAGGGTAAACTGCATATTTTGAAAACGAAATGGTGGAAAGAAAAACGTGGAGGTGGCAAATGTAGGGTGGAGACCTCCAAGTCTTCTTCGGCTGCAAATGAATTGGGTTTGGCAAATGTGGGCGGAGTTTTTGTCGTTCTCATGGGTGGAATGGGGGTTGCCTGTGTCGTAGCCGTCTGTGAATTTGTCTGGAAGTCACGAAAAGTGGCTGTCGAAGAACGTCTCAGTGCCATATTACACGAATGAGATGAATAATAAACCCAAGATGTATGGGTTTAAGAATTTAGGAAACGAAACGAATGGAACTTAGGAAAAATTCAGAAACGAAATTACATAACGAATGTGAAACAAAAAAAGAAAACTCCATAGATCACAACTTTAGCAATCTTCCATATATTATAGAAAATCAAAGTGAATCATGAAATCAAAATTTCTTTCGGTAAATGCAAGCTTTTGATAGGAAAAGAGACTTAAACAACTGGAATGTCTTGAAATAATGGTGAAGTGGAGGGCAAGGAATTAATAATTACCCTTTTCCCAATGCCACACTCATTTATCATTGCATTAACTGAGCATCTTAATATGGATATCTCCTTCGATATTGACAATGACATTCTATATGATATGAATATATATATTTAAGTATTTGCATTTACACAATAAATATAAATTAAATGGGAATTGTAATTATAAGTTAAGCTACCTATAGACTTAGACATTGAATGAAAAAGAGATTTTTTTTCTTTTCCACAATGAATTAATAGTAAGAGTATCTAATATTAGAAATAGTTTATAACTAAACGATAAAAATCCCTAAATAAAATTACGTATTCGATGGATGGATTAAAAGGATATGTTCTTGTTTTACTATATTTAAGCAATGGATAGGACAATCGGTTCGGGTTAATAGTTAAGTTCACTTTTCCACTTACAAATCTTCCATTGAGATATTTAACTTTGTATAACCTCATACGGCTAAGGGATGTTTACGTTAGAACTTTTTTTGGGGTTAACCTTCTCTATGAAGATTTATTTTAGGTGTATGCAATGGAATTTGCAATTTAAACCGACTGGTTTTTCTAAATCCTTTACAGCGAGAACGTACATTAAGGGTACAACACGTTAAATCCAAACAAGTAAAAGCTGTAAAATTCTGTTAAAATCTTAAAAATACCGAATGTAGCTGGGTCTGTACGACGACATGGACCTGTATAGGTAACTTTTGGCTATAGCATCCATTACGAACATCAAATACCAAATTTGAAACAATTCCGGTGAATAATGTCGCTAAAATCATTAAAATATCGAATATCGGGAGGTACCATTAGATGGGGGCCATAGCAAAACGTGAACCTACATGGCCCATTTTCAATGCCAAAAGTCCTGCAGATATAATATACATTTGAGTAAAATTTTATCAATCTACTTCATTTCGTTCGGAAGCTAGAGTGATTTCCACAGACGGGCGGACATCGCTAAATCGACATAGAGTTATATGCTGATCACGAATATATATACTTTGTGGGATGTAAAATGTATATTTCGACGTGTTACAAACGGAATGACAAACTTAATATACCCTCCATACTATGGTGGAATTAGTAATCTAAAATCTCATGCCGTGTTGGGGAAAATTATTTTGGCATATTTGGTGTCGATCAAACCATGTACCACCGTCTGCTAATCTGCCAAGTTATTAGTGTGTACGATATTTTTTATGTATGATCCAAACTTTGCATGATAACATTTCTTAATAAAACTTGAAGCTTATTCGAAGTCGTACTGATAGTTTCCAAAAAAAATTAATTTTGAATAATAATTACTTACAAAATTTCTGTATCTCAGCTTCTGACAATTTATATTTAATTATATTTATCCTAATTGGAAATTAGATAGACATATTCAAAATTTTTATTAGTTCATATAAAAGTACAAATTTTGCAATGTGCGAAGCTTAAAGAAATTTAAAAAAATATTTCCATTTTTTCTATAATTACAGGAAAAAAATCGCCAGTATGTTTCCTTCTTTTTATGCCTTCCACCATACTATGAAGGGCATATTAACTTTGTCATTCAGTTTGTAACTCCTCAAAATACTCATGTTAGACCAAAGGCTATTTACCGATGTCTGTCTTTGTGTCTGTCTGTTACACATATGAAAATATCTCCCGATATTCGGTATTTGGACTATTTAGAATAAAGTTATTTAAAATTCGGTAGTTAGAGTTTGTAACCTCCTTTAGCAAACATTGCCTATATTTCCACTTTTTAATAGCACCCGTAGGTATCTTAGCTCCCAATATAAGGTATTTTAGGAATTTAAACCACATTTTTAAACGGAATTGCTTATAATTCGGTTCATAGATTTTATAATGGGTTCTGCTTCTTGTGGGAAAACGCCGTCTACATAGGTACACGTTTTCCTGGAGCCTTAAAATAACGGTAGTTCCCGATATTCGAAATTTTTACGATTTAGATCAAATTTTATAAACATAAGTTAAATATTCGGTACCTAAAGTTTTCAAAGGCTTTAAGGCTTTTTTCTTCTTTTTTGAGTCGATTCATGAAAGTTTAATAATCTTTCCCTATAGACAAATCCTTGCATAGAATTGTAAATATGGAATTTAACATTATTCATTGGAATTATATCAATTTTCTTATTTGAAGTCCTTCTGTGATAGAAAATTTACTATGCAGGTCCAGGTCCACGTATAGACCTGACATCTTTTTTCCAACTATTCTTGTGGTGTGCCATTTTCTCACTAGCTCCATATAATATGGACAAAAGTATTGGGATGTGGAAAATTCCAAATCAGACAAATTTATATGGACCTTTTGTAGCATTTTCAGATTATATGAAATCTTTTGAAATTAAAATGAAACTTTTTGCAGCGGAAATTAAAGCTTTTGCAGTGGAAATGAAACCTTGAAGTAAAACCTTTTGCAACCGAAATGAAACTTTTTGCAAAACAAATGAAACTTTTAGATTTATAGAAGAAACATAACAAAAGATTTTTATTTTTTTGTAATTAATATATAGTTAAATATAAATTAATATATAGTTAAATTAATAAATAGTTAATATCTATATTTTTATAATATTATTTCTTAAATTTTCAGTGTATCACACGATGCAATAAAACGCAAGTGTAAATTCAGAAAAATTAAAAAATGCTTTTTCAAGATATTTTCTCAAAAAGACCCGAATTAGATGCCATATTATAACTTTGATTTAGCTAAAAATTATCTAACACCTCGAAATATTGGTCTCCGACATAGAAAAATATATATGGGTATCTCGCCGAGCTGAGTCGATCTAGCTATGTATGTCCGTCCGCCCATTTGTCCATGTTAATTCATAATCACTATACATGTCGCAATTATGGCCTGATTTAGCATGGAGGTGGGGCTAGGGTCGGACCAGATAATCTATTTTTGCATAATATTTAGGGGTTGTGATGGACAAAAATGAGAAATATGTCCTGATTTTGCAGTTGCTCTACAAGTCGCAATAATAGACCAATCGGAATTTAGAATGGGGGTAGAGTTTAGAGCTCGTTGTTTGGTCATCGGACAATATTTAACAGGTAAAATAGACCACAACTTTAATGTAAACAAGTTAAAAAGCTGTAAGTTCGGCCGGGCCGAACTTTTAATACCCTCCACCATTTGGTACAAATTTGGCAATTTCCAAAAAAAAAAAATAAAATCCGTCAAAAATTCTGTTAAAATCTTAAAAATACCGAATGCTTATACGACGACGTGGGCCTGCATAGGCAACTTTTGTCATAAGTTATTACAATATTTAAATGAGAAACTTGAAGAAAAATATGTTTATAATGTAGCTAAAATCATCAAAATACCGAATATGGGGGGTACCGTTATATTTGGGCTATACGAAGACGTGAACCTGCACAGACAATTTTCTGGCATGGGCTGAAGTATCCATTATGACCTTCACATGCGAAATTTGAAACAATCCCGGTAAATAATGTCGCTAAAATCATCAAAATACCGAATATCGGGAGGTAGCGTTATATGGGGGCTATATGATAAATTGGACCTACATGGCCCATTTACGAACAAAATATACATGTGTGCAAAATTTTAGCCTTCTATCTCAATTTGTTCGAAAGATTGCGTGATTACACCAGACAGACAGACGGACAGACAGACACACAGACAGACAGACGGACATGGCTAAATCGTCTTAGAATTTTACGCTGATCAAGAATATATATACTTTGTTGGGTCTGACATGAGTATTTCGAGGAGTTACAAACGGAATGACAAAATTAATATACCCTCCATAGTATGGTGGAGGCTATAAAAATACGAAAATTTCCACTAAACCGCAAATATTTAGTTTTGGCGAAATCAAAAATGCACCAAAATATCACTTCTGACCGTTACATTGATGCTCATATCCAAGATATCGTATATATAGTAAAATAAATATAATCTCATGTATCAATGAAGGGGATGTTAGTTAGATCGCTTATAACGCAAGAACCGCTGGCCGGATTTTAACAATTCTCACAAATTCTGAATGGCTTCTTGCCTGAAAAGGATAACAATAAAAAAGTGAATATTTTTTATCGCATGAGATTTTTTTATATTTGACTTACAATATTGAATTTTACGTTTGGTAATATTTTTTACCTTACAACACTATGTTTTTGAGAGTATTATATACAAGTCGAAATTATCTCAAGAAATTTTGTATGGAGATAGAATTAGGGCCAGAATTAAAGCCTATTGTTTTTCAAGATATATATTTAGGGGTTCAAATGGACTAAAAATCAAAACTTTCCAATCGACACGTAATTTTGCATGAGGTTAGGGTTTAGGACAGCACAGACGACCCTTGAATTATATTTAGCGGGTAAAATGGACCACAAATTTGTGTGAAATTGTCTTGGATACCTATCAGCACAATATAGAGTGTAAATATAAGGAAAATGTGCCAGGTAAAAAAGGTAACATTTGTGCAGGACAGTATGGCATTATTCCAAACAATCGACTAAAATGTGTTTGGACATAAGGAGGTTTTCCAACACATTATAGTGTTGTAGGGTATCACATGGTCGGCCCAGCACGACTATAGCCTTTGCTTACTTGTTTTCAATTCGTAATGGGTACTTCCTTCTATGACAAGGTGGTGTTTAATTCTTTTACCGACATTTTTCAAATAAATGGATTCAGGTTGAAATATAGCACTCTTTGAATGCTTTTCCAAGATCCTTAGATATAAAGATGTCTCGTTTTAGGTATAATCGTAATTGTTGCAATTCACATATTAAGTGTATAACCTATCGACAAAAATAATTTGAATTACTTCTTAATTCCTATTACTCGGTTAAATGTATCTCTTATGACAATCAAGGCTTATGATGAATTATAAGACCATAAGCCTTGACGAATTTGATAACACAATCTCATATATTGGCCTGCTGAAGATGTTAATTGTCTATCCATGGATTTTTAAATTGCCATTGCTTTGTTGTAGCAATTCCGCTTTTCTTGCACAATGTATTACTACACTTTACATGCAACATGCATCGTTATTGTGATTCATAAGTGTTGAACCTGAGCTTGACCTTGTGAAAGTAGCTGCAACAAAATAATTGGAAAAAAGCGTCATTCTTGTTGTTCGTTTCATTTCCATGCCTCATTATTACCATTGAACCCAAATAAAACAAAACGAACGAAAAATAATAATTATAATAAAATGTAATTACCATAGCTAATCTAATCGTAGACACTGTAATTAAGAAAATGCAAGATGAATGTGTATCGCCAAGTGGAAAAAGCAATTCGTATGTATTACGGAAATAGAGATAACGTTGGAT